TGTGTGTGTGTACTCACTCTTGTAGATGAGGGAAAGCGGTCTTGAGAAGGTTGGCCACATACTCCTGGATGAAAACCTGGTTGTTGGTGGGGCTGGCAGGGTTCAGCACCGTCGTGATCTTCCCCTCCTCCACCAGGTTGAACATGTAGGCCAGGATGGACGCGTGCATGGTCAGGCCTGCAGGACACACACACCATCACACACACATTTACTACAGAGACTTCCAATTGTGTCATCTTTCTATGGGTGCTAATATCAGTGCCTGGGTGCCCCCCCATCCGTGCTGTAAACTCACCGGCAGTGTGCGACGTGTCCGTGACCACAGAGAAGATGTGTTGCAGGATGTCACAGAAGTACGTCTGGTAGAAACTCTGAGCGGCTGCTTCCTCCTGGGCGACGTTCTGCAGCAACGTGTAGAGTATCTGCAGACCTGGATGAGAAACATGAACGCATCGTCAGGTCAGCATTCTTTAACTTTCTCCCTCACCACAGGACCGTTCCAGGAGCCCGATTTGAGATTTTAATATGAGCCCTCTGAACAATGCTCAGGTAAAGTATCACCGTGCACCTGCAGTGTCACATTTCTGCCTTTTAAACAGATTAAGTGAACCACACAGAGATTATCCCAGCTTTGACACACTCTGTCCTCACGACACGAGAAAACACAGAACCCAGGGTCGGGTTTACAGCGTTGAGTATTTAAACTCAACTTGCTGTTGTCTCTTAAGTGAAATGGGTGTTTTCAGTCTTACCGGTGTCCGCCACGTTCCTCATGGTGTGTTTGAAGGCCCAGATGATGGAGTCCAGCACCAGTTTGAACTGGGCCGGGGGGATGGCGAGGAATGCAGGGAAGCAGTGAGAGTTGACAGCTTGGAGCAGGTAGAAGAAGTGGGTCCTGTGCTCTGGATACTCCTCAAAGTTCTTGTGGAAACACACAACACGTGTTTAGAGACCACAGCTGCATCAGTGAGCGTGGTGCATTTATTCCATGCAGAAAAACCAGCACCATGAGTTAACGTGGATTTTCAGCAGTGGTGGGATGTAACAAAGTACCTTGACTTCATTACTGTATGAGAACATGTATCTGGACTTTACTTTAGTATATTATTTTCAGGTACTTACACCACTACAATTTCACAAAGCATCGAATAACATGTTTAAAAATGTTTTTTATAAATTCAAAAAGGAATCAATAATGAGAGGGGGGTCTGTCCAGGTAACATTAGACCACGCCTCCTGCAGCAGCTGCATTACCAGTGAACAAACACCAGTAATGGATTCAGAAGAGGCCGGCACTCAGCCGTCATGACGGTTGCATAAGTGATCAGTCTACACTCGGCAAGTTTTAATACTTTAAGTACTAAGTTACTTTTACTCAAGTAGAAAAGTTAATGTGGTACTTCAGTACATTTTATTTTGTATTTATTTGTTCTTTCACTTTCACACAATAGTTTCAAGGTTGGATTAACACTCTCACAGACCTTCAGGAGGCTCAGATCACATTTTGTTCCACGGTTCAACTGTGATGTAACCGATCCCTGAACTGTTGATTATTTATCAATTAAGCCACGACATAAGACCAAGTTAAAACCTAGTATGTAACTCAACTGAGTTCAATGTCCCAGGACATATTTGAAAATGGTTATGGAACCGCCATATGCTAATTAACATATTAATGACATCATCACGTCATATTTGCATTCCGCTGAGTGTCAGCTGGTTTCTGTCCTTTATCTGTTTGCTCATCAGCTCAATCAGATATCGCACAGACTTTGTACCAGGGAGCTGACAGGGGAACGTCAGTTAATGTACCGTTCAACTCATTCTGACATTTGGGTTCACGCAGCTCCTTTTGCTTGTGTCTAAAAACGTTCAGTGCATATGTGAAAGCAGCTTTTCTCTGTCACAGTGTGTGCAGCCTCCGTCTGGGTAACAAACTGCTGCTCCACCACTCTGAGCCCTGGCTCTCGTTTTGTCAAAAAATCTGTAGATTTGTCTCGGGGTTCTTTATTGAGGAAAAAAAGATTCCATTAATGGAAACTGTTCATTTTGGCAGAACAACGTCAAGTGGGACAACTCCCAAAATGCAGCTAGTCGACCAATGGTGTAACTTTATCACAAACTGACTCAACTCACTCCCACTCTCAGGCCCTAGGGGATGTGACACTCGACTGTGTCCTGTTTTGCTAAGAAGGAACTGTCTGCAGTCTCAGACATGCCTGCTTTGTGGTTTCAGAGATTAAAAAATCAAATGACTGACAGTTTTTTAAATAAATTTTTCACCTATTCTTCCTGTGTTTTCTCCCATGTGGAGATAATACAAGTGTCATCCCATCATCTGGGATCATCTAGCTGTTTGTTGGAATATGAAGTCAAACCCTCCAGCCAAGGATGACTAAGCTGCAGTGCTCCATGAAATTAAGTGTTCTGAGTAACTCACCTTTACTTTGATACCACAATATCAGTATGTATGAAAACATAACTTAGTAAATACACCTTTTTCTCAAATTTAGTTTTTCTGAGGACTAAGAAAACACTACTACTGTTATCTCGATCTATCTACATTCGTATTTCAACTAGTGCCAATCAATGCCAAACACTTAGCAGTCTCACCTTGTTGATCATGTTTAGGGTGCACTCAAAGACAGCATCAAAGATCTGGGGGATCTCGCCGGTGATGTGTCCACCCAGCTTGTTCACAATGGTTGCCATGGTGCTGAGGACCTCAGGTTCTCGGGCGGCGGGGACATTGCGCTGGTAGTCGATGAGGACAGCGTCCAACAGTGGTGGAACAAAGTTCTCCCCGACCTGGAAGACGACAGGAGAGATCAACATGGATACAGAGGAAGAAAGGTGAGAGCTGCCACATCTTTGAAACACGGGAAATTAAAACTCCTAGATCAAGTTTTTAAACCTGGCAACATGCCGCCACTGTGCCTTCGTATGATAAGAGACGTATTTTGAGTGAAATACGCAGTCAACACCATGGCGGACCATTTCAACATTAAGAATGCATTAAACAAATACCACTCTGAAGAAAATTATTCAAACAGCAAGAGTTTGTCATGTCACAAAACTAGGAAACCCTGTTGACTTATGGAGCTCAGTAGCTGGAGAAGGGGGAGCCATATTAGCATATTCATAGATCCCAGTCACGAAAATTTAGGAGGGAAGGCGTAGAATTACATTTGAGCCATTTTAAGGACACAAGGGGAATTTTTTCATGACAAACCTTTTGAAAATGTAATTTTGGAGGAACAAAGACATGTTTTAGGATATTATAATCAAAGTGGGGGATTAAGATTTCTTAAATGCTCAAGGGTGAAGCTCATTGTTTTGTAATTACATGTTGAAAGGCATCCTGCACTGGAGAAAATTGAGGATTTAAGAATTCACTAAACATTTAACAACCACAACATTTAAACCAGTAACTAGTTCTAATATTGTGGCTGATCAGTGTATTTTCACTTAATCAATGGTAAATAACAAACTACATTTTTTTTTATCCAATTACTTATGGTTCAGAATAAACTCTTTCAAAATGCTACGGATAAACACTGATGTGCTACAATATCTGAGGCAGTGACCGGTTGTAGCTGTGTGGCTGCTCAGTGTATTACACAGACTGAACATGAATTATTGTGCAGATAAAGACGGAGCTGAGGGCAGAAACAACCAAGTCCTCCACAAGGAAATGCAGTTTTGTGCTTGATCTAAAAATACCAGAGGATTAGCTCTACTTCTTTTCTACTGTCCGCTGGTTCATCGACTGCCACAGTGTGCAGTGACAATGACCTGAAGATGCACAAGGGTGAAAATATATCTCAGCTGTTTACTAAAGGAGATATACTTTTACTTTGTGAATTTAAGTCAATACCCCAAAATATTAGGACCATTGTTCCTCGTGTCAACTTTAGAAAAATCTGTGGTTTTCCCTCCACATTTCTCACCATCTGCGGGTCGTTTGATCGGCTGACCCAGCCTGAGATCAGTTTCAATGTCTCTCGTTTCACTGTCCTCATACTCCGGATCAAGGGCTGTTTTGTCACCATCTCACCTGCACACAAAGGACACACATATTAACACACTGTATCAAAACTTAGTGTAACGATTCTGGCTGAGTTTTGTGAAACTGCATGAAAACAGACAGATGGAGAAGAAAAGCTGAATTTGCACTGCATTACCATTCACGCACTTTCGTTTTGGTCTGTACTGGATTCAAGCTTCTACACATCCTTCTACAAACTATACATTGTACAAAGGGAAAGGCTCCTTCTCGTATCTATACAAAACATTCTGAAATCCCTGAATCTCTACAGCAGCTGTAAACTCAGTCGTTACGTTAGGGCCCCAAAGTGGTTTTCTAATAAATGCCTTACATTTCTCTTTAATGTTAAACAGAAAAGCATGTTTGTACGATGTTTGTGCTACAGTATTTTTGAAGCAATATCATTTCTATTATAAAATCTAAGTTGACCAGTGTTATGGCAGTAATCAGAAGGGATGAAGAAATTATTTGGAATTGATTTGGGGAATTATTATTGTTGGGCTTGTGCTCGAAAGGGTGAGTAGTTGAAAAAATAAAGATGTGCAGGTGCCATTTTATGAGTCTCTGTGTTCCCGCTTGTATTTTTATAATTTAGTTTGGTAAATGTCAAACTGCTCCCAAGCAAAACATTAAAATTAGGTTTATGCAGGAGTATGTTATGTAATATCCTTTGAGATGATAGATTAGCCATGGAGACTTTAAACCACCATTAGGATACTGTGTTATGGTATTAGAATATTTACCCAGTTAAGAGCAATGGTGCAAATCAGTTAGTAGGATTGCCAGAAATGGACATTCGCATCTTAAATCTCAATTTCATACATTGAATTATTTTATAGGCAGATACAAAGTCAAACTGACCAAGACATTATCGTCAAAAAGGTTTGGTCAAAATGTTTCCCCTGCTCTGAGGTACATACTTTGTGATATTTCATCATTACTGACACAGCTCCAACTCAGATGTGTCACCAGAAGCACAAGCAAGAAAAAGGTTTTTAATAGAACGTAAATATTTTTAGGATCAACAAAAAAAAACCTAGATGATAGTTTGTGTAGGTGCCTGCAGCTTGATCTTTCATTTTCAGATGAACTCTTTCCCCACAAAGTACAAGCACATGCCACTGAAAGCATGTGGGCATTTTTCAAACCTGGCATCCCACTGACGCAATGCTGGAGTTACACAAAGCACGGCATGCCAAAACAGCAATGAAGCTGCACAGTCTAAGCGCAGTATTGATCTGATCTGTTCACGAGAATAAAAACACTATCACGTCCAAATTTGTGCAAGTGCAACACACAAGAGTTAACATGTCAGGGCAGGAGTCATTTACTTGTGTTATTCTGTCCAGAGACACATTAAATGGTTGGTTAGGATGTTACAGAGATCATATACACAGCATCTCCATGTGTCGGCTGCCTACAGAGCTGTTATGACCTCAAACTGACACAACAATGAGATCAACCTAGAGACATGTTATGAGTGAGTTGTAAGATCACAAACACACACCTCCCTTACCATTGGTCTGAATGGCAGCAGATATGTTCTCACTGAGGCACTTGTAGACGTTGAGCATGTCGAGGTAAATCCGTCCCAGCTGGATGACGAAGGGGTGTCCCACAGCCTTACACGCTCTGACGTTGGTCTTCAGGATGCTGCCCAGCTGTTTCACAGTCTCTGGGTCCTTCAGGATGTCCACGTTCTGAGAGGTGAGTGATAGGAGGAGACATGGACATGGTCAGAGATTAACACACTGTTGTTTATCATAGATGTATAAACTGGTATGTTGGGTAACAGTAGACTTGTGTCTTACCTTAGTGGCTTGTTGGATAATGCTGTCCCACACTTGATTAGGCAGCAGCATGTATTTCTCTATGAGGTGCTCCTGAACAGCCTGGTCTGTTTGGGCTCCGATCATATAACCTACTGCCTCATAAAACGTGTGCACCTGGACACAAAGAAGGAAAATGAAAAGTGAGATGAAAATTTAGGACGAGTGGAATTTTGGTAAAAGACTTTTCTTTAATTGCGAACGATAAAAGATGTCCATGTGCGTCACTGTGCTGACCTGTTGTGGTTGGAGGTCGCAGATTATGGTGTTGATGTTGTTGAGGATCTCATCGATGAAGGGCATCACCTCTCCCACCTGCACCTGGATAAAGTGGCGCCGGCACTTCTGGGCAATCTTGATGAATGTGTCACAGGCCATATCCTGAACTCCATCATGTGTCTCTGATGAAGGGACAAGGAGGATGATGTGAAAAAATGTCCAAGATCAAGATTCAACTTTTAATTCATTGATCCGTGTCAAGGTGTTAAATCTCTCACCGTGCATGAACTCAAACAGCTTGTTAACCACGGTTTTGAGGAACTTCCAATGGGCTCTGAGAAAGCGTGGATACTGGCCAACGATATACATGATGTTGGAGGCTATGATTGCCTTGTTGTCCTTTCCTCTCTTCTGCTCACACAGACCCAGCAGATCCTGAGACAGTGGAGATAACTCAGCATCACAAACGTGTAACGCAGGCTCAGGATTTAGTGTTCGTAAATGTGCCGGGGCTTTAGAAAGTATTCGGGTCCTTCCCTTTCGGCACATTTTATTTATTGTGCTGTCAAATGTTTTAAATGGTAGCCGCTGTTTATATAATCTTATATATAATCTTTAGAAGACATCGTAAAGATATGATAATCTCGCCACCAGCACCTGGGATGCTGAGCTGCTTAAATCTCAACTTTTAAAATTATTAAGTTTGTTTTTTTACTACCCATATGGAAAAGTGCTACAGGACCACCACTGCCACCTAGAAACTGTACGCAGGTCTTTATTATACCTTGATAACTGTGACCAGGAACCTCTTCTCGTCCTCTTCGTGCATTGCCCCGCTGATTGATCCGATGGCCCAACACAATGTGTTGAGGTTCTTCCAGGACCATTCAGTGCCGTTCACCTGATTATGAAGCTTCTCCGTCATGATGCGTTCTGTGTCTGCGTAGTCCAAGTGAGTGAGGTACACTGCAGGATAACAGAGCACAATCTTAGTATCGGTCAGTGTATGATGGCTGCTAAACAAAAAGCTGAGAGGACATCTCATTACAGAACCAGGACTAAAGCTGTTAGAAACACAACAAACGTTCAAAACAGAGAAATGTGGCACCATAAAAATATCAATGGCCAGTGTATTAAGTTGCATCACTCAATATATCCATCAAAAGTAAACAAGAGCAGCTGGTGCTGTAAAGCTACTGTTAATCATCACCATCACTACATAGAATCAATGTTCCAACCACGCAATTGTAGATAAAAGCTACAACTTTCCCTATATCCATCCATGTATACAGCTTATCCTCTTCTTGGTCTAAAAGGAATCAGTCTGTCCCAGTGGACCAGGTTCACAGGTCTCCATGTACACACTGGAAGAACATCACTCTCGCACAGACAGGCCCCAGCCAACAGGCAGTGCCACTGAGCCACCTGGTTATCAAACAATATTTCAATTTCACGGCAGGGCTGAGTAAAAGTCACCTATTAATGGACTGATGTGATCAATGGGTATTTTCTGTTGGCAGCCAGTATAAACATGCCGTGACACACCTTTTTTCACGCTGCATTCTCCTCCCCTTCTTTGGTATTTTAAACGTTTTCAGAATCCACACGCTAAAAATGGCATGTTGATGGTTTGGATTGTGCAATCACACAGTCAACATACTACGTTTTCGGTTTTTGTTTTGTTTTTCGTGGAGAATTAGCTATTTTTATGACAGTGATCACGTCCACACATTAAAAAGTTTCATAAAAAACAAAGGTGGATACATAAAATAGAAGTTATGCACAAATCAACCTCTTTTCGGGTATGATCAATTGAATACATATACATAAGAAAAATGACCAAGACATACCCAGTGTTTCTCTCATGTTCTTGTAGAGGTTGATGGAGTCTGTGTCCTTCATGAACTCTCTGACCACCTCCCCCTGGTCATTCTCCACCACCAGTACCTCCTCGGGCTTGGCCATCCGACTCACCATCAGCAGACGCACCTGTCACAAGAGATAAAAACGTGTCAGCACGTTAACACATCGAAGAAGCGCCTTGCTTATCTGACACTTGTGCACGTCTCAAACATTTATTGTAGCTTTACTGCTGATTTTCAGTGACATTGGAACGAGCAACTCTTTTGACAGCAGTTTGGAAACCACCTGTTGCTTGACCAGTGCCAACTGATTTCAAGTATGTCTGAGCTTCCATTTACTGAAACCCTTCTGCACCTCTGAACACCACCTGTCTGTGCCAGCTCCGCCTTCATGTAACATATAACATGATGACTATGTTAGCTGTTGGCCATGTTGCTAATGAACACGTATTTGTCATACTGTATCATGTTGCATCTGTGTGGATGTAAATATAATCAAGAGAAAAAAGGGACAATGCCAATCAAATAGATCTAAGTACAGGAAAAAGTTAGTTCTTTATAAGAGCGGTGAAGTGGAATATATTTGGTACCTTGGATAGGACAGGCAGATAGAGCTGTCTGCGTGGTGGCACGTCAAAGTGCTGGTTGCCAGAGAGCAGAGGGGACGTGGATGTAGAGAAGGGACTTTCTCTGTAGAGCTCCGCAGCCAAGTGGTTCCAATACTCCAGACAAATCTTAAAGATCTCAGTCTCTTCCACCTCTGACACCAGCAGCATGTAGTGGAGGGCCTGGAAGAGGGAGCAGTGAGATAATAGAATGATCAATTCCACAAATGTCTATATGTGGAATGCAAACTTGGCGTGTGTATTATTAGTGGTCACAGGAAGTGCAGTGTCATTTGGACCAATGATACGTTCAACATTAATATAAAACGGATAAACATGCAACCAGTGCTCGGTAGTGGTCAGAGTGTGTGAGGAGAGACACTTTTGATTATTTGATTTTTTTTTTCTTTTTTCAACATATTGGACTGACAATCACAGGAGAGGGGACCCTGCCCTACGTCATGGCAACATCATTCATAGAATCACTTTCTGTTCGGCAACTACTCTTCAAAGTAAAAGCACAAGGCTAATTTTGTTGCTTCAGTACTATATATCGAGCTCAATTGCAGAGCTTTTATTTTGAACAGTTGTGAACTTCAGTCTAAACATTGTGTTGAATGGCTAACACACACCTTTGAAATAGTAATAATAATGATAAAGTAAATTCAGCATTATTTTCTGAAAAACATTGCGTTCATCAAACCTGGTTTGTGAAGATTTTATTGTCAAGTCACTCTGCCCCATAAACTGTTTATTAAAAACACAAACAATAAAAAGTGACACTATGTTGTAGAACTGTTTGAGGAGGACTCACTAATGAAAAGGAATAATTCTGAAGTAGCTCCAGAGCATTAACACAGGAAAAGCAAACAGGCAGGTTTAGAAAGGGCACTGCGCTAATTTGTTTAATCTGTGATATATGTTTCCGCTCCAGGCTGTAAATATGAGCAGCAACACTCCTACAGGATTTCAAATACTATTTCCCTGTGATTGACTTACTTCCATTAATGTTTCTCTGAGGTTGAGCCGTTTCTCAATGAGTTGCCCGTGCTCCTTGAGGAATGTGCATAGGAACAGACTGAGGTTCTGGATGAAGTTCTGCTCGTCATCTTTCCCGTTGGCGTAGGCCAGTCGAATGTTGGTGTTTAGAGGCAGCATCTGAACAGACACATTATTCAGATTTAAATTCTACTCAGCAGTTTAAACGGGGAAATGTCAGAATTGTTTTTATCTGCACTGACCTGTTTGAGTTGACACATGGTCAGTGTGAAGAGTGTGACGAACTGCTCTTCATACTGACTGACACTGACACCGGCGATCTCTGTCAGGCACTTCAGTGTCACATTTCGGAACATGGGCACGTTCAAGAACTGGAAACAGTTGAAATAGATATTCAGTTTAGGTTTTTTTTTTTTTTTAATAATTTGTTCTGATGCAGGAACAGTAAAGCAATTAAAGTTCAGTTGCTGCAGAACATTGTGTGTGTCCGCACCTTATACACCAATGTGCTGATGAGTTTGGTTTCGAATATGTAGCCCAGAGGAATCCAGTTGAGAAAACGTAGGAGGGTTTCCAGAGTGGCGTGGACCAGGGGGGCATTCTGGGAATTTTCCTAAGGTGCAATCAATGAGTTGACAAATAGTTGAAGAATAAACACTGGTGTGTAACAGAATAAAACATCGTACAACCATGTTCAGAAAAGAGAAGAGATGACGATGTGCAAAAGTCAATAAGAGCGTACCATAACAAACTGGCAAAGCTGGAAGATCTGGGAGAATTCATTGCACATGCTGAGAAAAACAAAGAGACACATTAAAAACCTTTACATACAATAATGCTGCAACACACACAATCTCTTTTTCAACAGATCCTCTTGAAAATAAAATGTTGAGGTTTAAATTAACATCTTCTGTTCTGGCTAAATTGTCATTTGCTGAGCTATGTCTAACTGAAAAAAAAGGATTGTATGTTATGATCGATGTATTTACTGAATGTGATTGATTATCTTAATAATCGCATGTGGAAAAAGCCTCTGAGCCTTTACCCTGAAAATAAGTGTTTTATTTAATTATCATTTTTCATTGGAAGCTACTTCGCACACAAGAAGAAGAGGCAACAGTGCAAACGAAAGAAGAACGGGAGGTTTAAGTGTCCTTTAACTATGACAACTGACCGTAAAACTGTCATCAGTTTATCCTTTAGTCCAATTGAATGTCAACGTTAAATTTGAAGAAGTTCTCTTGAGGTTTGCCAAAAAAATCCCATTTATGAGAATGAGGTAGACGGACAGACAACCTGAAAACATAACGCTTCTGGCCACAGCTGTCATGGACATTCAGAGATTCATAAAACTTAACATGAGCAGCTTTTCCCCTCAGTTACAAGACCTCAGCTCCAGTGAACATGATTGGGAACATCTGAATATGAAAGAAGCAAAATGATCCGTGGGCAAACCAGGGGAATAAATTGATGATGATGCAATGAAACATCATCAACAACAGACAACTGTCTTTGTATGTGAGGGAAAAAAGCTTATTCTTCTTCGCCATGATACCTTGGCTCTTTAATATCACTTTTTTATGCTGTGGGGACCAAGTGAGCCACTCAAGAGCTACTTTATGTCAGTAACTAAGGCAACATTGACTTTGCAAATCAATTACATAATATTTATAATAAAAAAAACTGATCGACTTGTCAAATGTAGCAGTGTGGTAATAAAAGGTATCAATAGCATATGGCAAATGCAGCCATGCAGTCGCTGCATGACAAAGGCCGTTTGTCTGCAGCTGTGTTAGATACAGATCACACCATTAAATTATTGGATTAAGTAATATTTCCAAATGCCAACACACTGAGATCATTTTATGATGACCTGAAAGTGCTGCAATAATGTGGACTCTTTAAATTTGGTGAAACTCTCCTGTCTCAATAACAGACAAATGCTTTACTTATTTATTTACTGTAATTAATTAAGCTGAATATTTTGATGATTTTAATGATATTCTACACCCTGTGGGCTTGCAAAGATAATTAGGATAATGATGAAAGCAATTTGTGGGGCTTTCCGAAATAATCATCAGAATACATTTCTTTGCTTTGATTTTCTTCCCAGGGTTTGGTATAAAAACGTTGCGGCATGCTGACCTGTCTTTTAGGTGCTTGGCCTTGACCTGGGTCATCTGACCACTGGAGAAGTCAAAGACCTCCTCGCTGAGCAGCTTCAGAATCACCATGTTGTTCTGACAAAGGCTCTCACTTGTACGACTGGCCCCCACGATGTCACTGATGAAGGTAGGCCAGTGTTTGGGCCACTCCTGCTTCAGGATCTGAAGACAGAGACGCACACGTGAATCGGTGTCAGACACTGAAAATTTTAAAAATGAGGGCACAAATCTGTGATTCCTGCTAAAATAATGATCCCTTTCATAGTAAACAGACTGTAGACATGTACATGGGAACACGCCAACACCACACTGGTACAAATATATGGTAGAAAAATATTTGACACACATGTTTTGAACACAGCCTTCCTGAGTATAAGAGCAGAATCTGGAGCTCTACATTCCCTCAAGACCAAAACAACGTTAGAGCTCAGCTGACGCAAGCAGTGACTCATTATCACTGGCATTAATGCCAAGTCACTCGTGTAGCCAGTGAGCCAATAGCTCTCTCCCCCTCTCAAATATACATTGAACGAACGCACGCACGCACGCACGCACGCACGCACGCACGCACGCACGCACGCACGCACGCACGCACATGTTTTAGTGTCCTGAAGTGGTCCGGACTAATTTGTTAATAGGACAGCACAAGGCAGTGAACAGCTCATTTCTGCAGCTGAGCATTAACAGGATGCAGCACTTTCCTGGAGTGATGGTACAATTATCACTGGGCCTATATGTTATATAATATATTGTGTACATATATTGTGTCACTGGTGATAACTACTTTGCTGGTTAACAACTGCTACATGAATAATGACAAGCTATCTTATATCTCAGTTTACATTCAAACAAGAATATGGGCTTCTCCTGCATCCTCCACATCAAGATGACTGTCTTTCCAATCATCAGGCCCCAGCCATCAATTTTCACACATCAGCTGAGACATGCGAGAATAATGAATATGCAAATGTAACAGGTAATTGTGAACTTAACTGTTACTGACCGTTTGAGCAACATAGACTAATTAAGACTGACATCTTCAGGTAAAAAAGTATCACTACAAAAAGTGAGAGGGAGAAATGAAGCAGCAACATGGTGCCAAAATCCACAGTTATCCTGAAATTCTATTTATATAACAACAGTCAGCATCTCTTTCTTTTTTTTCTTTTTTTTATATGAATTGAACAGTTCTGTTTCACAGACACAACATTTGGAGAGAGTGAGAAATCTTATAATTTATCTGTTAAAATCACTGGCTAGATGTGCACTGTGTTTCCCATAGAGTTAGACTGTATCTATAGCAGCTTGGTGACGGTGGATTTTATTCTGTGATAGACAATCCTGTGTGCACCTTGAGTTACAGGTACACAAAGAGAACTGGTGTTATGCTGAGCTCTGTCATACATATTTTTAAGGTTCACTGGACCCAACGATGCAGTGAAATCTCTCTGAGAATGACAGACAGGTGTTGTTAATGTGTTTGAAAGACTGAGAGAAACGAGGAGGGTCTGAGGGGTTAGTCAATGCACTGCATTGACTCTCTCTACAGTGAGGCAGCGGTGAAGAGATATGTTATTTTGAAGAGTTAAAAAAAAGTAAACTGTGGTAGGGCAAAATGGACTGTGGTATGCTGCCCTAGTCAAGGTTATAAATGAAATGAAAGGTAGATAAACACTGCCCACTCAGTGTAGCTATAGAATGACTATTAAGGCAATATCAATACACCAAGCACCAACATAAGGATTAAATCACTGCTTGACTAAACAAAATTACAGTTTAGTACTATTAGTCATCTTCCTCAACTTTACATCTGCCTAAAGGCTGTTGAACATGGCAACTCTGATAAGCCATTTGATGACTCAGACATTTCCAACAGGAAGCACTGAGCAATAACATGCATTTTGCTTATCTAACATGTGGTTAGTACTCTTCTAATTGTCCCAACCACTGAGTAGGATTCAAGTTGCAGTGTTGGAGTGGGTTGTGTGCTCCGGTGTACGACTCTCTTCCTGTCAGTGTGGATAACTTCACTGAAACAGTTTGCTGCCACAGAATACTCACACACAACTCTGTGGGGGTTAGGGGAAAACTCAGCAGAGCACAATGATTGGCCGGCATCATACAGACAATACTGCTCAGATGAAAAAAACGAAAAAACACTCTTGCAGACTGACTTGAAGAGTTTCCAGTGTGGAGAAAAGAGAAACACTATCTTTACTATTCCATAAACACAGCATTATGTATGAACAGGGGGTTTGAGTTGTAATATCAGCTGAAATATATGGCTCTCCTTTGAAAACTGTTTAATTTGTTGTTATTAGTATTAAAGACTTACCTGAACAAGGATCATGTTCAGCTTCCCAATGTACACCTTTTCTTTCTAAAAAAGTACAAACAAAAAAAAGAAGGGATGTGTGTTACATACATTCTGTATTTTTACACCATAGTGAAAATGTAATAAAATAGCACGTAGAATTAAAGGTCACAAACCAAACACACTTAATTTAAAAGGTAATACAACGAAAAAAGACGTCAACACAAATCAAAGTTAAATACTCAGTTTTGACATCAGTGTCAGTGAGCCAATAAGCATGTAGCATGCTATGCCTTCAACCAGGATCTAATCATGATGGGGATTGGCTGTCTTACTTGATGTCACATGCACCCATTGTGATGAAATGCAGGACAAACACTACATTGGTCCAAAATATGGGGCTCATATGTTTGTGTTGTTGAATTTTGAGAGGCTTCACTATAGTCTGTCACACCGTAGGATGAGAAATTTATAGGGTCCTGTTAAGAGCTGGTATTGACATCTGTCTTGAGAGTGTCCACAAATGGACAGCACTTTGTCTGTTTACACCTGGCATTAAAATGCATCCTGAATGGGTCTGCTGTGATCATGTGGGTCATTTGTGGTAGCGAAGAGGAAATATTGTTGTTTTAACCCAGTCTGGGCTAACAGATGAGGATGAGTCTGAGCGTGAGTGTGAGTGTAATTGTGTCAGTACGAGAGAGAGAAAGAGAAAGAGAAAGACAGGAGGCTGAGTCAGGAGGGGCTGAATGAATCAATGAGCTGCATGAACATCTGTTATGAAGAAAGATTTTAAACATTTGATACTGCAGCGAGTCAGAGGATGTCAGCTGAGTATGCAGCACTTCCTATGTGACCCAGGACCTACTTGCATTTTCACAGCGACAACAATGTGGCCACATGCATCCCAGACCACCTCTGAATTTAGTGTAGGGTGATCGGATCGCAAGGCGCATCAAGGACGCATTTGGTACATTCACTGTGATCCGATCACTCAGGACGGATGTTAATACCACGTCTGTACAAGCATGGTATATATGCAACAAGCACGCTGTAATATTTTCTATCACACTGCAACTTACCAGTTTTCAAGCTGAATGATCTTTATATTTCTAAATTGGTAGGTTCTTTTTTGAATAACAGACCATTCTTAGAATCAAAGAAAACCTGGTCTGCTTGGTTGGCCCAACAATCTGAATGAGCTTCAAATGGTCTGCGGAGCTTGGTTTAATGTGTAATGTTTTGTAGAGCTACATGCTTGAGGAACTGCTTTCTCAGCATGAAGTTAAATACTAACAGCGAGGTGGTAGTACATTAGTTAGAGCTAGACAGTGTTTTCATTAAGCTGGCAGTAGCACTCTGTAATTTTTAAATGTTGCCTTCACAAGAACTGACTCTTAACCACAGCTAACCTCTTGTTAAAGGTAAACATGTTTGCCTCAAAACATTGTCTGGTAGCAAACAGTGGCCACTGTCTAGCCCATGACTGATTTGAATTCTAGGTTATTTTTCAATGCACATTAAAAAAGGGGGATGTAAGAATTAAAGTGAACAGACTTTGAAGGAATAATAGGTTTGATGTTATGTCAAAGACGTTTACAACAAGTCGCAATTAATGGACAACCTCCGCCTGGGGCTGCATTTGAAGATTGATTGTGTCACAACACTGCAACTAAATCCCATTTCTTCAGGGCTCCTGAAAATGCAGCCAACAAATGCATCCTTACATCCCCGAGCAACGGGTGGATACTTCTCAGGCCAACCTATCCCATGATTCATTGCACTTTGGTGACCGTGACAGAAAACTTCTGTAAACCAGACAGTCGCATTTCAATTCACCAACGAAGAAGACCGCCTCCTTTGTTGGACCCTTGGACCACGTCCATTTCGTACCTCAAGTACTGTTGCATCTAATCTGCCCTCAGTCCAACGTGAGAGGATAACGGAGCAGTAACTGTGAGGCTATAAGCCCAAGTTGCAAATACTGATGCTGCTCTCATTCATGTTCCTCCACCTCTCGTGAGTCATCCTCCACTACTTCCACATCTACATCTTCCCTGAAATCATTGCTGTCAGTCTAAGAATAACCAATGAAAATGACCGACTAGTTACATAATCAGGTTGCACGGAAAAAGCTATGTAGAAAACATTATTTCCCAATTCATGCAGGTTTGTCTACATGTCCACAACTGCTCTACAGTAAGCTGAGCTCAGATTTACACAAGCTAACGTAAGCTCAACGTGACGAGTTAAACTTGGTTGTGATTAAGAAGGGTAGGGGGAGTATGAATTCAACAGTTGAACACTTATACATGTTTTATAATATTATCCCTCTAAAGTTTCATTTTAGGGATTATTTAATTAGGTTTTCAGTTTTGCAGTACTATTGCTTTGAGCATGATAGCAATAATACTTCTAATATTAGGCACTAAAGGGAAAAATAGAGCTTCTGCTATGACTTTAAACTATTGTGAGGTTGGTCTACACACTTTTTCTTGACCATTTACCTTCTGCTTGTTTAAGTGGCAATGTCGTCATTTATGGTCTAAATTACTCAGCACCATAGTTCCCCGATTACTAGAGTCCAACCGATGAGGGAAGGAAATATTTCTGATAGAAGCTGATGTATGTGTGTGTGTGTGTGTGTGTGTGTGTGTGTGTGTGTGTGTGTGTGTGTGTATATATATATGTGTGTTAAAAAATTGGCAATCATTCTTCAGATGAGGTTATCAAGCCTTTGTCACAAGTGATATTTCACAGTGTAACCATAAATGTCATTATAAATAACTATAAATAAAAAGAAAACACAAATATAACCAATTATGAAGAAATTGAACTCCGAATCAAAAAAACATTTTACATGAAATATAAACATAAATGCACATATTTTCATATCAGTGCTTATCAGCCATAAACAGATACTGATTTGTTATGTCTGTGAAAGATTCATATCCAATATGATCAGATTTATTGGTCGGGCACTAGTTACAAATGACTAATATGAGACCCAACACATAAATAAAACTAGATTCTATATGTTCTTCAGTGTAGCTATGTGTCAACCTTTACACCAAAAAGTCTGATTCAATTTTAGAATTATTTAAGTTACATGCAACTACTTGCCATGTTTTGCAGCTCACATGGTTTTAAGTAAAAGTCCAACATTAGTGCACCCATACAATTACCTCACAAATGTATGGGTTTAAATCACAGTCAATTTACTCACCTCCACATTTGATGCATCTGATGACGTCTTGATTATGAGACCAACAACATACTTTTTTATACCTGGCAAATACACAGAGATGTAAGAACAGTTAGTGTGCACCAAATAAATGTGTAAATCTCAACATATCCTGACATGACCAGCTGCCTGGAGCATGTTGCTCTGTCTGCTGGCTCATAAGTAGCTGAATCTGCCAATCATATCCCAGTAGTTTAAAACAATTTTTGTTTAAGGCGTGGTCCTCCATTGACTTACTCTTGCCATGCCAGTTTGTAAATACATGGATATGGGCTGCTGCTCCCACTGAACGTCTCCTCTGGGATAAAGTTTGGTCGGTTCAGTGGAAGCGACAAGTCAAGACTGTCAATGTGAGCAGAGCATCTTTAAAACTGTGTTTTCAGCTCCCTCATAGTGGTTTCTAGGCTGTAACTGTAGTCAGTTTTGACAATGATGTGCTGGGGTGTTGTGAGCGGAGCCGAAAACAAGGCAATACTCTGGCACAAGGGGGGAAAAGACATACTTGCCGTTCGCCCTGCACTGGGTTTGCCACTTGAACAAAATTCAGGCATCTACGGTCAGAAGTAGGGAAGTCTTAGGTCAATGAAAAAATGAATTTTGAGCAAAATTGTAATAGAATGGAGGGAGGCAGAATCAACTGATTTGCACATGATTGTTTTATTCTATTTCAGAAAAATTCCTGTTTTGCTTATACCAAAATCCTTTTAAGACATTTTTATCCCACTTTTTTTCAGATTCTTGAAAAAATTCTGAATTGAAAAATGACTTTAGCTGTAGGTAGTAAGATAAAATCAGAATTGGCAATTATGCAACATTCAATTGTAAATTTGACATTATAGTCCTGATATACTGCAACACTGTACTCTAATGTTTCTACCCATTGTCCTATATTTCAACAGTAGGATTTATACTGTTAACAACTTTTCATAATGTTCATAATAATGGTGAAAGAAAAGGAATTTTTCCAAAGACACAAAATTGAATCCACCAGGTTGAATTTGAAAATGTCTGACTTTGGTAACTCTTAAAGTTAGTTAAAAGACACTGTGGCAGAGATGAATGCATGTCAGTAATCCATGTAACCTTCTTTGTCCTGTGGGTACAATGAGATTAATAGGATTATAGTAACACTGGGAATGTCTATTATTCTACACACAAAACATGTGAATGGTCTGTCTATAAAAATTCTAAAATTGTACATTGTAAAGCAAAGGAAGTAAGTGAGCTGATAACTCTGATTTTAAGTATCCCTACTTCTTTTTACTTTCTTTAAATATGCCCCTCACAAAGCTCTAAAATCAGTGCTTGGGTGTTTTTAGTTGTCTCTGCTATAAAACAACTTCTACAGTGCAGAATCCCACCATTTGGCGGTGGCCAGTGGAAGCCAGTCGAGCAGAAAGCCAACCAGCATGCTTAATGGGGGAATACTTCTCAACTTGGCAACAGCACGTCACAATGTTTAAAAAGACACTGACGGTGACAGAATGCAAGGATCTTGTGATTTAAACCGAAAAAGTTACCTTCACACTGATTCCGGGGAAGAATCTTCCATCTTGTTTTGATAACCGTTTCCAAAATCTGAAGAGCATAGTACTGTAACAGGCAGAGGAGGGAGAAGCATTAGCACCAAGCTTTATGATCACAGTCAACAACAAGCACTGTGTAATTTGTGTACAAACCAAAAACAGTATGAAGTGAACCAGTCTGTGATAGCTTGCATTTCTTCATTGGATTTGACTGAACCACATCTTTCATGCAGATTTTGTAGTATGCAGAATATTCACATTGTTCTCTATCTACACAAGCAGCATTGAGCTGGAACACTGCAGAAGTCCTTCTCCCAGCATCACACCAGACAACAAAACACAGCAGAAAAATAAAACAATTCATTAAGCAGCTTTGGCTCTGATTGCTCCAAGGGTGAGTCTAGTAGCCTAGAAAACATAACAAGGGCGAAGTTACACATTCTTTTACAGAGACTACGGAACCTATGGAAGGTTGGGCGTTGACAACTGGTTTTCGATTGGGACTGGTTTGAATTTGTTAAAGAACTTGATATCTGATTATCATTAACAACTCCTAAAAACAACATTTGAACCGTCAGTGTCTCCATCTGCCTAGCTAGGTGCACGCGTCAACACACAGGTACAGTGCTTACAGCAGACAGACTGGAGCTTAAGTTCAAAAGAGCAGCTACATTTAAACAGTGAAACGTAATCACAGCTGAAAAATACTTACGCAAGAAAGAATATCCATGTGTTGTAACAAGGCCTTTATTTCAATGAGGTCACATTCAGAACGACTTTACATGAAAAGTTGGGCATATGAAAACTGCATCCCTTGCATTCATTTTAATGGAACTATTTTATTGATACAGCAGGGGTGCCAGTGCAGGATCGCCCCACAAAGAGGTCAGACCTCAGGTATGCAATGACACCTGATGTAATTCGGTCGAAGTGCTGCAGTTGTAAATGAAACACGTGGAAGTGCATGTTCCTTGGAAATTACGAATGTTTTGTTTCTTAAAATCGTGGCTACTGTAAATACAATTATAACTTCCTAGATTATAACTTCCTCCCCCAAAATATTTAAGCACTGTGCAGTTTGATGAGCCTTTGAATTCATGGATCTATTAGCGAAACTGGACCTCTTTGATTTCACCAATACCTGAAGCAACACAGCCTCAACAATGCAGCTTTGCATTTTTTAACACAGGGCTGTATTTGGTGCGATCGCCCACCGAGAACGCAGCATTTTAAACCCTCAGGTATAGTCGTAATGCCCCACGATCTAACGCGTGTCTAAATCTAACACGACCAAGCGTAAAATGTGTATATTGTAAAACTCAAAAACTGTAACTATGTAGCCTGTTTTTCCTTTAAACCCCAGATACCTTCATAAAGGCATTTTGCAATGGCATTCCCTCTGTCCAATGAAACAGATGCAATAGAAACGGATGAACAGAATTCAGTTAAAGGGAATTCAAAAAGGGTAGACCTTGTGGAGGCCTGCCGTCAAAGCCTAGCTGTGTCATGATGCACAGGATGACACACCACTTTTCTTCCTATTACAAGCCATAAACATAATGGACATTGTGATTAACATCAAATAGTCAAAGCTTGAATTCATTACATGTTTTTTTCAAACATTATAAATACTATAGTTACAAAGAAAAGGCCAAATATTCAGAGTGCTTTGAAATTATGCACATTTTAAGCTAAAGAAACAAGGCAAATTCAAGAGGTCTTTTACCTTTAGTTTCCTCTTTTCCTCTAGTGCCCCAATTTTTGGGGCAAATTACAAATTTAAAACTAGAAATAATATTGATAATACATCAACTCAGACATTAGTAAAGAATGTCAGTGTTACAAGCAAATGACAGGCAAGCAAAACAGAAAAAAACATAGTCATTGTGACTTTGAGGAAGTTTGGGATGTTTGGCACTTTGATTACTTCAATCAGGTTCAGACTGACTTTCCATGGACATAGATACTGTTTAAATATTTATGATATCAGTGATTCTGTTTTGTTGATACAATTGTGAATCTCTTGCGTGTGCTTCTGAAAACTGAAGCACTGGGGTCACTATTCACAGTCAGTTTGCTTTATCAGCTGAATCACAAAACACAGGACGGCCACGACATACAGTTATCATGCTGGGAAAGGAACTAATCTGAGGACTTCAAATAAAAGAAGAATGTTAATGATTTATTTACAAATCATTAACATTTATTACAATTATCAACTTGATAAATCAAGAAAACATTAACCGATGATGCAGGGCACTGTTTACAACTGTGCAAGAGCATTTAGTCGCTGTACATGTGCAGTTTGTGCAAGTATAACAGTGAGAAGTTTTTCATTGCAGGAAACTGTAAGATTGGTAAGAGGTGACGCAGACATGCTTCTGGAAGCGGGCCTTCACTCAAACTACACATCTGTTCACTGCATCTCTTTATCTAAGCCGTTAATTATGCCAGGCCTTTGTTAAACTCTCTTGTAAGACTGATACACCAAGTCACAATTAATGTTAGAGTTAGAGTCACAGCCTGGCCACACCAATGTGCCCAAATGGGGCAGCATCTTGAGTGTCATCCAATTTATGTGTACTGAAGCCTTTCAAGTTGCAGGGAAGTATGTGTACACACTAGTATTTTGTGTGGCCATTTTCTGTATGACAAGGGAACCAGGAGCAACACCTACATTGTTTTGTTTTTAACTAATCTGAGAAAAATGCTTGTGTTCATTGATGAATCAATTCCATAATTTACTTAAATAAATGATTAACTTACAGGTACATCTCTGGATAAAGAAGCACACTAAAAAACAATATTGCAATTGAGTACATATTAACACGAGTCAACTTTCGACATTAATTCCGCTGGTTTGATTAAGATAGATGAGTGAAATAGCAGGAGCCTATTCCCTCCCAGAACCAACAGGCCAGAAACTCAACAGGCTTATTTGGTATTTTGATTTTATCAACCAGGAGGTGACAGGTAACGTGCATGAAGTAAATACTCCCAGGGCTATGTGGTCAACTTCTGCTGCAGCAGTGCACACATGAAATGCACAAATACATACATAAAGTTGTTTTTAACTGTCGCGGTTAAAAGTTTTCTCTATCATTTTCAAGGTCTTGACCTTAATATGTTGTTGAATTTATGTCCCTAACATTTGCTTCTATTTTTTATTCATTGATTTTATTGCCATGTATTTTGCGAAGCACTTGGTAACCTTGTTTAGATAAGTGGTATACAAATAATGTTATTATTATATTTATATTAATAAAAAAAGATCCACGATATAGCATATTTTTGATATGCTATAAACAAACCACTGTGACCTAGTGTGTAGTGTATTTTTTTGGTCTGTTTTTCTGACTTTGTCCTCAAAGCACAAGTAAGAGTCTTTCCACCAATGTTTTCTGAACTGGAGATGACTTACCTTAGTGTTCATGTTCTGGGAGAACTCGAGGATGGTGTCCACTCTCGTCCAGGCATCCGGGTGCTCTTTTAAGTGCGTCAACACTTCCTGTGCCATTCTTTGCTGTGATGCAAATATGAATGACACTTTAGATTAAACACTGAGGTGGGGGGAAGAGACTTCATTTCATTGCACCTGCAATTTCCACACATTTTTGTGCAAAAACAGTCATGTCAATTCATTTTACAGGTGGAACCGGAAATTAAGAAACAACATACTATATTTTAAAGTTAGGTGTTAGTTAACGTTCAAGTTTTTTTTTTATTCCAGGCATAATCATAAGTTACACACACACATTGTAAATTTGTTTATGACTTGAAAACAAACCTGTGGTCCCACCCCATGGTATAGACAGTTCACCACATTATCCAGCAGGTTGATATCCAGTTTCTGGTTGAAGTCCAGCAGCTGCTGTGCTGCATGGTCTGCTAACATTGTCATAACTGCTGGCATAGAGCTCTGCAACAAGGACAGCAGAGGGAGGGGTCAAGAGTGCACAGAACACATTCAATAGGCAAAGTCATGTGAACTGTGTGTTTAGAAACAATTCCAAACAGCTGACCCTGTCACAAACACCCCCCCCAAGTCCCTGCAGCCAGCCATCATTCAAAGAAGTTAAGCTCACAGTGTCACAAGCCTGTCACAGCTCAGACAGTATAAAATGGGAAGTTCAAGTTTTTAGGATTTGGACCATTAAACTGTGTGTATATTTCTGATTTTAGGAAAACTGCAATTTGGCTGGAGGTTCTAGACAAGGTGTCCTGATCTACCCCAGGAGTCAGGAATTACAAGTGAGGACTCAAGACAGCAAAGACAAATTAACTTAATTGTCTCACACAGTGGCCTTTAACACCACAGTTACTGTGGAAATGTCTCAAAACATAAGGTCACCACAGACCGACTCTACGCTTTATTGCAAACACACATGAACAGCGATATGTGATGGGGTGAGCGCACCATTCATGAAACCGACGCCAATGCCATTTCCAGTCAGCCTGAACTAATGACAGATTCAAAATAGGAAATAAGCAGCCCCCCCTCCCCCCCTTAGACTGATCGCAACACTTCCTTCCCGATCACATTAAGGAGGTTACGGCAGCCACGTGCCGAGTTTACAAGACGACGTCACGTTGTTTACATCCGTGTGTGACGGCGCTCGCTCCTCCTAACGACACACACACACACACACACAGTAGTGTGGTTAAAACACACACCGAGTGCAGCCAACAACTGTGTTTAAAGAGCTACGATCATCACCTGCTGCACGACGAAAGTAAACAGTGTTCGCGCGGAGCCTGCGCGCTACACACACACAATGCTAGCGAGGGCTAGCATCCAGGGCTAGCTGTGTGTTAGCAGTGTGTGGCAGAAACAGTTCACATGTGGTGGGTTCGCTGCTGACTACAACCACTCCCACCAGTGATCCCGGGGACTGGTGGCGCTCAGGATTACGCTCACGCTATCATTTAAGTGTTTGGAGAAGCAGGCGCTGTTTATTGCGATTGCTCTGCAGCAGCAACAGCAGCAGCTTGTCCCCGATACTGAGCATGTCTTTATTCTTACACAGATCTAAAGTTCGCGGTGGCTACCGCTAGGCACCTAGCAACACCAACTTGACATCCGCTCCCATCACGCACACGAGTGATGCTGCTGTGGTGGGAGAGGCACGGATTTCTCCACACAGCACTCTGGTTACTTATTCATCTGCAAGTCACAGTGAAAACACGCAGCCCGTGTTATCTGTGCACTTACTTAGGTTAAGTTACAGCACTTTCTCTGACAGCTGACGTAAGCTAATCCGTATAAAGTGGTGAAGGCTAGCTAGCGGGCAGTCGGCGGCTGTTATCCCGTGGATGCTACTGCATTCTGAATTAGCTCGTCTTTTTCAGGTGCACCGTGCCAGGCGATGTCAACTATAAGCTAACACAACTTCAACCCAGCAGGACAATGCATTGGATCCCATGTACACACATGTACACACGCGCGCACACACACACACAGAGACACACATACACACACTCGATGTAATCACAGCATAGCAGGTTTGCGCTTCAGCCCAGTTACCTACCGAAAGTCCGAGGCTCTGACTGAAAAGAGTGGCGTTGGCCAAAGACACTAAAAGATAAAGAGAGTAGTTGAGGATCACAGTTGATTGGAGAAAGACTTCCTAATTCTGCAGCGTTGACTCTCCAGCTCCAGCAGTGAGGGATGTCTGGCTGCTAACCACCACTGATGTGGACTCCAATTCTTACTACCACGGCAAACCCAGCGATCTGTCGCTCCGATACATTTTACGAAACCTTGCTCCACTTATTAATTGGTGACTCTGATAGATTTCCAGCGGGGCGGTGTGGAGGTTGTGTGCCTGCGCCTCCTCTCCTCTCTCAAGCAACTAACTCGCAACCGGTTGAAACCGGTTCAGACTGGGAGATTCCATCTCGGTTTAGTTTTCAGCCGATGGCGCCGCGTAAAGTTTGGACCGGTGCTACGCCCACACCGCGCCGCGATTGGCTGCGGCCGCGGCGAGCGCTTCCTTATCGGCGTCCCATTGGCGGCGAAGGCTGTCCGTTTATTTCAATTCGCTCAAGCGCCCACGCGACTACTCCGCCCGGAGAGAAAAAGAGGGCAGACAGACTCCCATGCAGAATGGACTCCTTCATGACTCCGCTTATCAGAATGGAGAATAACTTCAGCCACATGTGTTTTATTGCTCCCCCCGAGGGTTAACTCGCACATTACCTCGCTCCCTGTAGACGCCACACGGCGGTACTACACGTGCGTAAAGTGCGCGGAGCAGAAAGTGCAGCCTTTGAAAAGGCTTTGATCCACTCAGGGGAGTGTGTGTCCCTCTTTAAACGCGACACACAGACAGTAGCTGTCTCTTGCAGGTTCACCGCTCGCTTGAGTGACGTGACAAACCGCAACTACCATTCATTTGCCTGTTGCTTGTACGCTGGTAATTTTCCACCAGCCACGAGTGGGAGTGGTTACACGATCATGAACGCACGGGGTTAGAAAAACGACCTGGAGGAGATTGTTGTTCCGCGGCCCGGGCAACAGTGGCCAAGTCAAGGGTGGACGTGGATTTTAAACACGGTGTCCGCAGCAGCGGCGCGGAGCAGATGTGTGATTGCGCCCCTGTGCGTTTTTTGCAAATTGCGAGCTGAGTAACGGAGAACACCGCTGTCAACCGAGGATGCAAACATGACAGCGTCTCCCCCCCCCTTCCCCTCCTCTCGCTCCTCTGTGGTCACGTGGTCCAGCGCGCTACTTGATGGAAAAATACTGGATTTGGTGTGTAGTGGAGACAGTACACAGCCCAGGAAAGTCATTCACAGAGGATTTTTCGAAGGGCGTTTGAGTCCCTACCCAGCAACACTGTCCACCACTCATTTCTGCACGTCTCTTCCACCCACACTAACGTGCACAGGTCATTTGAAATACTTTGTTGCATTCGATAAAAGCTGTGTGTGCACAATATCTGCTTTTTGAAGTGCAGGTTGGATGTGGATTGGACAGCAAATGTCATTTTAGTCGTGAAAACATCTAAAACCCGAGCTGTGTTGTTTCAGGATTGCACGTCGATCATAATGATAATAACTTTATTTCCACAGCACCTTTTAAAACTGATGTACAAAGATGACAAATCAAATCAAATCAGGAATATGAAAAATCAAAGGCAAGAAGCCAATCAATACAGTGTCATTAAAAAATCAAAGACAGCTAGTTAAATAATACAACATCGTTTAAAAGTAATGGCAAAAGAAGAGGATGAATAAAACACACCTAATAATTCTAATAATAATAGTTCAGCATGCAGTGCTATGACCACAAGGTATGTGTCATAATGGATTACATGGTGTATGGATTTCTGATTGTAATATAAGTATCATATGCCCTGTGCATCACAAAGCCCTTAAAACAAAGTGTCACCTTAAATCATTTTTGAATTCTGAGTATAGCATGTTTCATCCTCAAATGCAAGCATCCTGTCAATCTCACCTACAGTATCTGTGCACTGAGTCCACGTCCTTGGATCAGCCTCACACCCCAGACAGTTGGCCTATATCTGAGCCTTTGTTATTAACAAACAAGATTTCAAAGCCTATTATCTCTGCGTTGATTCATGGATGCCATTTGCTTTGCACTCCATGCTGTCACATTCCCATAGTCCTCTTCTTCAGCAAGACACGAAATGCATGCACGTCTCTAGACAAACAAACAGGTCAGCCCACTTCTTATGAATTCACTAGTCTTGAACGAAAAAGAAAACACTGTCTAAAGTTCAGTTCATGACAAATAGTGTGTGGGGTGAAAGATGTTCATCCTTGTCCCATGACTGCTACTTTAACTGCTGAGGTTTTTGTTATTTACATGGACTGTACACGTACAGTTGTCCACACATTTGACTGCAGATATAAGATTTGCAAACAAATTAAAATGAAGGATAGACTGCTATTTTTTTTATTTAATTGTAGTAAATAAAGTGTATTTTCTCAAACACACACAAACACTCAAACACACACAAACCTGCAAAACTAAGTGTGTGAAAGTGTTCACTGATGCTTTTCATTCAAAATACTTGAAAAAGTTTACATCAGGCTGAGATACTTTGCTGTTAAATCATCATCATTTCATTGCAGAGAGTGATTTCACTGTCAGCAGCTCACATCTCTCTTGGTGCAGTGCTGGAATTTACTGTTAGACATGTGTGAAGTTTGGAGGTAAGCAGCCTCGGACAGGCGTAGGCTGGTTAAATCTCGTTCTGTCTGGTCAGGGCATGGTAGCCCATTTACATATATTAACATTGCACCACACCAGGGGGCTGACCTCCATGTGGCAATCAACTAAAGAAACTTGTAATTTGTTGTGCTGGCTCACGCTGCTCTTGTCCCATTGCCTAAAAAGCTCAGCCTCGCCATGAAAGCTTACAACAGGGAAAGGAGAAATCGAAACTGCTGCATGGCTTTAGAGATGTTGCACAATAAGAACAATGTGACAACACATGTCAAGCTGCGCTCATAGGTATTGCTCTCAGAGTAATCTATATGTGTGATTTCCTGGGCTTCTACTTTCAATCAGTTTTTGATAACACAGGACAAGAATAGTGCTTTGTGATTAGCCTTCTACTCCAGTCCATGCTCCAGTCTGGACATTATGTAAACAAATAACAGCGCCATCTTCTGAAACACGAGTCTTCAGACCGAGACCTGCATCTGTCGCGTGATCCTGGCGCGCCCCCTGCTGGAAAACCCCCGAAGCATGATCTCACTGGCAGTCACACGACATCAAGATAAGAAATGTAAACATATAAAGTGAGATTAAAATCAGCTCAACTGGAATGCAAACAAATTAAATTCACGAGATACAGTTAATACAATGAATGGTAGAGTTTATTATGTCAATATAAAGACATGTCGAAATTAAAGTAGTGATTCCAAAGAGTTCTGACAGATCTAAGATGTTTAATCAAACATTGTCATGTTGTCACTTTGGAATATTGGTGCATGGCCCTGCATGTCTGCTTCCACAGTTAACTTAACCTAGGAGGTTATGTTTTCACCCCTGTCCATTTGTTTGTCTTAAAAATTGGCGTTTTTTAACCTTTTCATTGATTTCTCACAGAATAATTGATGGATCTTGATGAAAAAATGAATGTAAATGTGATTTTATAAGGGGACTGTTGGGCCTTGGCAGAAGTTTGCAGAAACATGATCTGGTTTACATTATCTGAATCACATGGCATGTGATTTGGTGCTGTCTTCAAGTTGAAATATCAGATATATAAGTGACTTAACCTTTTAGCACATAAATATGACTTAACAGGCAGCTGTATTTTCTTCAGACAGATGGCAAACTGTCCAATCACAAATTCAAGGCTTTGACAGTGTAGCTACTGATCCACTGTGGGAAACATTTGTAACTTATTACCAGTGTGGTAGACATGAACTGCTACATGTCAGATCATAATAGCCATACTGTAGAGAGGATATGGATTTTAAGCCAGCCAGCCAGTTCAAGTCCAGCCTAAAAACTGGCCTCCAGAGTGACACTCGAGATAAAAGTACACTCTTACTATGATTAGGACTTGTGAGTTTGCTTGTGTGCAGTGATTGCATACAGTCTATGAGTGATTACAGTGATGACAGTTGCAGCACTTGTCTTATCAGTAGCAGCTGTATTTTTGTCCCACTGAAATATGAAGATATGACCTTTTGAAAGTGTTTTGACTTGTCTTGCCTACTATTAATACAAAAGCACATACACATATAAACATATCAGTGACAATATTAAGAAATAAGTGTCTAGTATTTCAGGGCAGAATCATGGCCCAGTTTCACAGCAGCCACAACAAAAAAAGTAGGAAGTTGCTTTTTGCAACATTTATACTGTGGTACAAGTACTGTGGTATTATTATATCCACACCTTTACATGACAATTGTTTACTAAGACACACAAAACGTACCTATTAAGGACTTATTTTAGTGAATATTTGTCCATCACGGCTGCATTTCAATCGGTGTGTGTGTTGAAACGTTTAATAGTTACAGCAAGTTTCAGAGGCAGTTGTTAAAAGCCATTGTGGAGTAGTTTCAAATACTCAAAGGGTACATATTCATTTTACCATAGTTGGTTGACGAATGTGCATGTCAAATCTATATCAAATAACCCAAAGAAATTACACATTTGAAGTCTTCTAAAGTGTGACTTTTTAAGTATGCCAGGCCCCTAAGAAACAGCTTCCTCCTTCCCTCCTGCGTTTAGTGAAGGATGTATCGCCATGGCAGCAATGTCCATCATCCTGACCAGATTTGAGAACTAAACAGACTTGAACTTGCCATGACAATGTCAAAGTACCGAGTTAATGCCAGTAGGTGGCACTATGACCAAGACAGACATTTGGCCTGTAGACTCTTCAGACCAGGACATTGAGAAAGTTCTCCTATTGTGGGCTGAGTTACAATAGTTTTGTGCAGCAGTGATGAAACCACAATGTATGAATAAAACTCAGGAACTCTCATCAAAGTTTTGTACAGACTTGACCATGCACAGAAATGTGACGCCATATAACAGACCTGCTGTTCAACAACAATTTAAACCCCTCACAATTTAACATAGTCTTAAGATTAGTCTGACAGTGAGGTTTTATTTAGGTTCTCAAGAATACTTTTTAACAAATGTGTTGAAATTAACTCCATCACGAGTACAACATAGTGATCAAACTTTATGTGAGGAAGACTCACCATGTAACCCCCTCAATCCTAAATACATGTGTTCATCACACTGTTCACACGTTTGTGACTGTCCTGTGTTAGCAGCTCTCCACCAGCGCCTGTGGGCGGTGAAGGACAAGATGATCAGGATCTCCAAGAACGTCCGGTGGTGGAAATGCAGGTCCAGCTTTATTGCCACGATAAGCTCCACATGTGTGATCTTCCCCACATCGCTGCTGCTGCAAACACTAATTAGGATGACCTTAAAGTTTCTTCCCCTCAAGGATCGGTATATAGGGAGCAAACTGCTCCATCTCAGGCCACCCCAGCCAAACCAGTACACTGTTATCCAGGTTGAGTTGGGGCCTGTGGTGTCCTAGGCTATATATATA